TCATTTGACAGATGCATTTAAATGTATATAACATTTAAATAAAAGTGTGATGAAACGAGACTGGAAGAGGGCGCAATGTTATCCTACCCAGACACATAGTGAGCAACATGGTAACGGATGTAAAAATGTCACCTCGGGTCACCAAATCTCTAACAATTATAAGAATCTGGTCCCAACTATTGTTCACTAGACAAAAAGAAATCAACCTTGTTTCATGGACACATCAGTGCCTTTGTCTAAATCCTGTAAACTGAGGAAAAGGAAGCATAAGGACTGTGAGTGTCTAGAAATATTGTACAGTATGCTTCTCTAACCTTGCAAAATATCATGGGGTAACACTTGACTGTCATGGAAGGACAAACAAATTGTAAGAAGCATTACTAACATATTAACTAATTTTGTTATGTTGTGGTTTTGTAAAAAAAAGAAAAAAAAAGTTTTTCTTAATCTGGGGATGTTTTCTCTTCATCCCAATGTAAGAAAAAAAAAAGGTTGCAAGTATGCTGCTCTAGACATTTATGGTATTTACAGAACATTAACAGGGTTACCAGCAGGGTGCTGTATTTGCAGTTTTATCCACGAGGAGCTGTATGTGTGCAGGAAAAAAAAATGCACTTTTCGCTTTTCCTCTTGCTCCGATTTGACCTCAACAATTCCTCAGGGAAACATTGGGCTCTTTTGCTGACAAACACCCTGAAGTGTTCACCGGCTAATGATCAGTTGGCTCTGTCTGTTGCTTATTGCAGTGCATGTGTTGTATTGAGGCTTATCAGGGATAATTCTGCTGAAACCAGCGTGTTGTGCTACAAAATTATATAGAGTTAAAGAGAGGTATTAAGCTAAATAACAATGAAATCACCTGGGAAATTAATCCAAATATATTGAGTTAATTTTTTACTTATTCATTCCCCTAAGCCCATTATGTTTGTCTGTTACAGTGAATTATATAAAATATATTTAAAATTGCATTTGCCTCAAAGAATTACTGTTACAAAGGAGTGTTTCATTGCTAAAATGTTTTGATTTTCTGCTTCTGCATATACATTTTCTAAGTAAATTCATTTTTTTTCACATTTTATTAAATATATAGAACATTATTTAATTTTTGTGGAATGATACAGACAGTTAGCTAAACCAACTATTGAGCTTCCCTAAGATTTCTTTCTAGAATTGCACCATATGTGATTCAAATAACACTTTAAAGTCTGTACTGAATCATGTGAAAGAGAAATTATTCAAGACCATGAAGTCCTGCACACTCTGCAGGTCAGAGGACACAAAAGGGATTATTTAAAAGATGCAGAACTGGGAATAATGTAAATCACTGAGAAGCTGAAGGGGAAAAAAGAAGGGCTTCCAGAGACTTCGTACTGTCAAACTCACATTATTTGCATCAAAATAAATCCCTAAAACTATGCATATGCATGCTTGCTCAAATGCATGCATGCACACTCTGTCAAAGGCAATCATAAACAAATATGTGCCAACTCAGCAAAATTGCTGAGGCTTCAGAGAAAGAAAAAAGAAAAGGAGTCAGACTCTGTTTTATTTCTGTGTAAAATTATTCTGTGTTTGTTTTAATTCAGTTCGGGTCTGTAATCTTTTATCAGGCAATTTGTTTTTGATTATTTTTTTTGTTGTTGTTTTTATGGGCTTCATTTACATTTTCCTCGTCTGTATGGGAGATTAAAGAAGAGGGGAAGTGATGCAGAAATTGAGCTCTTTCCAGTTTCCAGTAAAAACTGGAAAGAGCAGAGGAGGAGACGGAGGGTGAAAATAAACAAGTGATGATAAAAGCATAGAGGCAAAACTGAATGGAAAAACAGTAAGTAAAAAATGTGCTTATAGAAAAAGAATGAAAATGTAAAGAGAATTGAAGAAAAACCTTAATAGCGAACCACCCATGTATCCCACTGCAACAGAATCAACAACTGTGACTCAAATACTGCAGCAATGACCCCATAATAACATTAACTAGGACATTTCTGAAGAAACTCGTACCCACCATTCTGATGCTAAAAATTAGCATCAATGCTAAAGTAAGCTACAATGTACTCAATAGCATGTGGAGAGTCACAAGTATGTTGAATAATATGGATTTACTCCATGTTAGAATTAGTGTACAAGCTAAAATTACCCAAAATGCTAATGTTGGCCTAAATGCTGCCAATGGCATGTGGCACTAGCATGTTGTCTTGCATTGACTTCCTCCATTAAGTGTGCTAAACATGGCTAGTAAATAAGCAAAATAGCTAAAAAGCATATTTTATGGAAAAGACTACTGCTAATGTGGGCAGTAGCTATTTTGTGCTAATGTTAGTGCACTGCCTTCTAATTTTTACTTTTGCAAAAGTAAAAATCGCATGTTTACTTTGCGGCACTTGGTTACCAGAAAACGCGCTCATCTCTTAGCAACAGATTAACAACAAGATAAGATTTCTTCTGATCTTTTGAAATACTACTTACCTCATACCACTTACTACTTAAGAATTGTGCAGTTGGTGAATCTTTCAGATAAGTGAAAATGTACTTTTTTTTGTCATTGGTGATGAATATATTATAAAACAGACATTCAACACAACAGTAAAAATCTAAAAACGCTCATCTCTTTACACCAAATTAATTATTGTTTACAAAACTTAAGCTCTTTTGAAATACTGCTTATCTGCTTACACACAGGAAATGTACAGTTGGTGAACTTTTGGTTTTAATTAAGCATAAATCTGTTGTCTTTTTTTTATGTTTCTTGTTTGTGTCTGTCATTAGTGTGTGAGAAACATATTACGTTTCACATTAAACCTTGAGGGGATTTTTTTTATTATGTTTTGATGAAGTACCAACAGAAAATACTTCACTTGTTTATTTTTTAGTCTTTATTTGAAAAGTAAATGGCCCTTCACAACATGCTACTGCAGGACTACTCATCAACGCAGACAGGAACCAGTTTCTTTACATGTTTAAAACGAGATTAAAAAAAAAAAGAAATCTAGTTTTACAGCCACGTAACACTGAAACAAGACGGCGAGTGTCCCCAAAATTGTGCCCTTGTTCTGAATAAAATCAATCTTCCTCAACCTATAAACATCAATAGATTTCTTATAGACCTGTGTGTTGTACAAACATTTGAAATGATGTAAATATTTGAGCAGAAATACAGAAGACAAAGAAGAAAAGGTTAGAAAAAAGGGGCAGATTATAAAGAGAGAAACAGTCTTTAGACCTTTAGTCTTTTTTTAAAGGCTGAAGCTAAGAGAGAGTTCTATCTTTGATTGCTTAGTGTGTTTGCAGCTGCTGACTGGCAATATCCAGCTTGAATGCTTTTTTTAAACTCACTGAATGCATGAACCAGAGCACTGCATACGTGTTCAGCCTCTGGATATATGAATATCAACGTCTCCATGAAACCCAGGGTTTAAGTCAGGCGCTATGTGGAGCAGATCTGTCATTACAGTTGTCTATGCACCATTTCTTGCTGCATTAGTCATTACTTTGCCCTTGTGTCAGATCTTTGCAGTATTATAATGTCATTCAGTCTCCAAATACAGATCAATTTCGAACTAACACAGTAAAATAAAAACTGCCACACACCCTCGGATACAGAAGCAGCTCTCCAAAGTTTTTTCTTAAAAAAATAAAAATAAAAAGTCAACACTGGAGGGTTCAGTTGGTAAGAAATTTTGAAATAAGTTGAAATATTACTTTTTAATCCAAGGTTTTCACTCTCTGTTGTATTGAGTTTCAGTAATTAAATCAAACTCTGGTTGGTTTGTTCAGAAGTTTGGTTCACTTGGGAAGATGTGAATGTGGAATCGAACTCTGATGCAGACCAAGAAAGCAAACTCTGGTCCATTTAAATACCTGGTCGACGTGAACTCTGGTGTGGTTTGAATGAATATGTGAATACTTACCAGGTCATAGACCAGTCCAAAAGTTTTCAGTCCCCAGTCGAACCGAGTCTACTGGATTATCCAGTGTGAGAACACCGTTAGCTAAGAAAACACCTTTTTTGTATGATAAACAGTTTGTGTCACGCTCTGGGCCTTTTTTTCTTCTATAGTCACTGGGAACATTCTCAGAAGGCATAGCACAATTACTTATTTAAAATGGGACATTTTGAATAAAAATGTTGTGGTTTCTGTCAGAAAATGACACATGCGTTCTGTAAGCAGGATAAAGATCCAGCAATAAGATCAGATCGATACAAAAATGGTTCACAAGATATCAAATCAACCTTCTTCCATGACGGTGACTAGCCCCAGCACTAAACCCGACATAAAACCTGCAGTGTCTGCAACAAAACCAGTAGAGAGAAGCCAGGACTAGAGGAGCTTTGGTAAAAAGGAACTGAGAAAAAGTCTTATAGGCACAAATGTTTTTTGTTTGTTTGGTTGGTTTTGTTTTTTGTTTCAAAAAAATGCTGTTTCTTTCTTTTGGATTTTCTGAATAAATGTACTAAAAATTAAAAGTGACATTTTTCTCTCTTTATTTTTGTTTGTGCCCTAGTAAAAGGTGTTTTACACATCTGGCAGAGGTGCCAATTAATTTGATTGACTCAATAAAATTTTCCATGAATGTTTGGGATTCAGTAGTGGAGAACACAAATAAAATGGCAATGTAAACCATCTGAGATTGAAGTTGGGATTTTTCTCAGTTTTTTTTTTCTCTTGCAGTTTACCCTTTTTTTTCCCCTCAGTCTCTGTGTTTTCGTTCTCTCTCCGTCCTCTAATGGATATTCCATCTGTATGTGTTGCAGGATCACTCTCAACGGGATGAAGGTGTCCAGGCCAGATGTCCGCATCGGCCGCTACAGAATGATTAAGCATGAGAGGGACAAACACAACGAGCCAAACCCACAGAGGTACTGCATCACAGTCAATCCCCATCTTTACATTTGAATCGATCTTGCTGCTTTTGTTTCACACAAAACTTTTCAGTTATTTCTATTAGGTTTTGGGTTTCTTGTTTTAAGGGTTACAAACATATGACTCCCTGAAAAACTGTAATCTGAGTTGGAAACATCAGAAGCACATTTGTCAGCTTCAGCGGTAAAGACACCGCATTTCATCCGCTGTGGTTAAACGAGAAGTCTTGCTCTTTATTTTCCACAGCTTCTGATTTCCAGTTCACACCTGGGAGCTGCCTGCTGTTAGTCCAGCGCTCCTGCTGTTTGTTCACTGAGCAGGTCCTGCAAAGAAACTACAAGTGAAAGGAAAATAAAAAAAGTCTCCCTTTGACACACCTTAGAGGTGTTAAAGTGTATCATTAAAGACTGCATTGCTGTCTGATCTTTAAGTCCAGTATTTGGCTAAATCAGCTTCCTGACAGCATGGATCTTGGGAGTTTGGAGGAAGAAGTTGTCGAATTGAAGTTTGCAGTCTTATCTTGCCTTTTTCTAATTTTAGTTTGTTTAGCAGTGTTAAGAGTAGTTTGGCTTTTATAGCATCTTGTTTTAATTTTCTGCAAGCTGTAACTTCCAGGAGGAGAACGGCATAAACATGTTACAAAACGAATACAATTTTTGCTCTCTACAATCATGCTCTACTTTCTGTTGACTTGGCTCATAAAGTCCCAATAAAATAGATTTAAGTTCATGGCTATAATGTTAAAAATAAAAAAAATAAAAAAAACAAGTCTGAAGGGTTTGAATCCTTTTGTAAAACATTATAAATAAGGGAAATATATGTCACACGTGCTACAGTATTATAATTTAATGTTTAGTGAATATGCAGCTGAATAGGCAGGTTCTTGCAATGTAAGCAGGTCGTAACATTCAGGTGCAACATTATATCAGGACTTTGTGTGTAAATCTGTCAGATTATAAAGCAAAATATGAACCAATGCAATTTCCTGCACACCACGGTTTGGGCGTTATGGTCACAAAAAGACAAGAAAACATGTTAAAACACCAAAGGGAAAAAAAACAAAACCTTTTTTAATAAACCAAAAATTGCTTTTCATGCATACAGCCCTAGGGTTTTAATGCTGCTCTTTTCACTACTCTGATCTGAATTGTTTTTTCAGACAAAACGTGCAAAAATACCTCCCTCATAAATGTGCTATTTTATGCTTTGATGAACGAGAACCAGTATGCAGAGATGAGCCCTTCTAGACACATTAATCACCAGGAGTATAGCACCTCACATTAAGCTGCTTAAATGCGGATTATCACTGTTTATTCTCCTCTAAGAGCCTCCGTTTTCATGCCTGGATAGGCCGGCCAATGAAGCCTCTCAGCACCAAAATCGATAGCTGCTCTGGCTTGGTTTGAATAAATATGTAGTGAAACTTGTCCCCCCCTCCCCCCCCTCTCAAATTTATTTCAGTTTGATCTCCAGTGGCGTAATTATGTCACAACATTTAGACACTTCTGTGCTCCAGGACCGTAGTCCGCAGTGAGTTCTGCTTTAGTCGTTGCTGCTAAATTGGTTTTTAAGAAGATTAACAACTGCTGGGAACAAGAGTCATGAGTGAAAGCATATTGACTGTTTACTGCAGCCAAACAAATTGTGGCTGCTTGATTTGAATTTTGCATATAGCCTCTGAACCTGGCCGCTGATACAATATTACTTTTTTTTTCTTCTTTTCAATTATGTTCTTTTAGCAAGAGAGACATTAGAGGAGAAAACAAAATAAAACGGTCAGCAAAAAATAAAAGAAGATCAAAAGTTCTGCTCTATCTAATGTTATTGTGCTTTGCATTTTATATAATAGAAATCCAAGTTTTTGGGTCTTGTATGCATGTTGGAAATGACAAGTTTGGAGTTGTTTTTCTCTTAAACATATCCAATTAAGAGTTCTCTGGAGGCAGGTAAGCTGGTCAGCGCTGACTAATGGCAAAATGGACTAAAAACTGAGAAAAACTGACAAAGGCTGCAAATAAAATGTGAAAGCTGAGTGAAGGTTCACCTCCCAGTCGGACATAAATGCTAACCATGCCACTAGAGATACCATGGGATGATATAGATCAAAGCTATTCCTTTGATAGACTCAATATAAATCTAATTGAGAATCTGTAGCAATACTTGGAAATCAGATGCACTTGTCTAGCCAACATCCCAGTCTCCAAAATGTGTAAATCTGGTAGAGACTTAGCCTAAAAGATATGCAGTCGATCTGCAGCAAAACATGGCTCAACAGATGATTGATCAGGAGGTTGAATACAAAATACAAATCCATCTTTTAGTGTGAGAAATAAAAAAGAAAACATAAATCATTTTTGCTTTTATGCTTCCCAGTGACTAATTCTGTTCAAGTTAAAGGGGGAAAAAATAGAAGTCACTGTTGTTCATTCTAAATTGAAAGAACAGTTTTGCTGTCAAATGTTAAGAAAATTTTACAAAATATAAAGTTACAGAACACCTGCAGTGAAAGACGCAGAAGTCAAACAGGTGAAAAAAAAAAAAGTTTTCTCTGCCAACATGCAAATTATAAAAAAAGACATCTCAACAGACCAGTCCTATCATCTCCACTTGTTCTCTGTATCCTTTTTAAACTCCCAATGCTTGTCAGGAGCCTCAGGTGTACTTTACCAATCTGCTCAGCCTGTCTCCGATGACATAGTCTGTTTTATACATAATAATTATTCAGTGATCCCTTTTTAAGTTTTTAGTGATTTTTCTTGGTTGTTAAGCAAATTTCCATCTTGTGCTCTTCCAGTTTAGTCATTGCACTTCTAAGAGATCCATTAATAATGGACTGATATTATTAAGTACTTTATCACATAATTTCTGAAAATATGGAAATGAATAATATACCCATTTTAGTGCCAATGAGCGGAAAGAGCAAGTTCACCCACAACATTTTATGGCTTTAGCTGACAAGAACATAGAGAAAATAGTTTATCCTGCTCTTGCTGAGACATCACACATCCATCTCAATGTGCTTCAGCTTTAAAAACAAACAATCTATACTGCAAATTTGTCGCAATAGCTTGAAAGTGAAAATGTTTAAAATAACCAGGCTTGTGTAATGCATCACTCTTCATTGTTTTGTATGCGTGCGTGCCTCTGTGTGTTTGTGTATGTCAGAGAGATGGAAAGGTTCAACGATCCCCCCCAGTAATTGCCTGCTGAAATGACACCAATAGAGATGGGAGCCGGCTAGGTCAGAGTGGTCTAGTTGCTTTCATCAAAATCAATAAATCAGCCACTAGACAGAATGAAAGTGTGTGTCTGTGTTTGCATGCGTGTGAATGTGCATGTTGTGTGCGTGCGTTTCTGATTGATACCCAGTTCTCGTTTTCCTCCCCGTCTTGCTGGTTGATTTCTTTCTGGTCCATAGACCAGACTTCCTCTATAAGAGGTGACACCAAGAGGGACACTTTTTATTTGGGGTGGATACATTATTCATCACCGAGGCGACGGGCAGAAAATAGACTCCTATAAGTTGCCATAAACTTCATTTTTTAAAGCCGTTCTGGACACTTATAATGTCTTTCAGATTAAAGTGAGCTTTTACAAAGAAGTGGGCTTGGACTTTAATAAATTGTGGCAGGTCAGGATGGTCAGAGCCAGCAAAGGTGTATATAGCCGACTCATGACTGCATTCAGGCAGTTTTGTTTTTTTTTAAATGAAAGGCTCTCTCATTTATTTTCTGTGTCCCTTTTGAGCACGAAATTTCTTCTATGGGAAACGAGATATGTATTATAATGCAGCTTGGTAAGCATTTCTTACACTCTGCAGTACATTTAATCTATCTAATTAACCGAAGTTTTAGACACAGTTGTCAAATATACACCTTAAAAATATGAATATGGTAACAAATCATAAGTTTTTAATCAGAAACTAGAGGTGGTGTCATGATCCATCTTTGGTGCACAGCAATACCTTCTTACAGTGGTTACATTGAGCACTTTTTCCATTAGTGCTCAATGGAACTGAAGAAGCTGTAAGAAGCTTCTTCAGTTCCTACATCAGCAATAACTTGTCTTGCACAATGTGCACCCTAGTTCACCCCGGCAGAATCATTGTATTAAAAAACCCACTGAAAAGCAAAGGCAAAAAATTACATGAATTCATCAGCAGATGTACATTTTATGTAGAATTAAAATCAGCAATAGCTCAATCAGTGTCTTGATCTAGGAAAGAGACATTCCTAAATCCAGAGGTACATGGCCAGGGATGTTTTTTTTTTTTTTATGGGAAATAAAAACAGAGTAAATGTAGTTAACACCACCAGTAACCTCAGTTAATGGCTCCCTTGAAGGCGTATAGCTGAACATAAGTCTATTCTATGGGAAAATTAAAATAAATAAGTACATAAAGTTAATGGAAACAACACCTCTATATGCATCTTTGCTCAGGAAAGAGGCAAAATTACCACAATCACTGGATCTGGAGGGCTTTCTATTAGAAAGAAAATCAAAGAGAAGACAAAGCCACTTCAAATTGAAAAGTAAAAGCAAGAGCGTATGGATAGATTAAGTCTGATACTTTTGTCAGGTTTACTTGGAATATTCAATTTCTTTCTCGAGATACAAAATAAGTGACTACTTTTTAAAGCTTCAAATAGCATAAAAAGGACACATTTACCTGTTTAAAACTATGAATTTTATTCAACACCTGCATTTGGCCTGAGGGTCTTTTATGTGAGTTTTTCACCAGAATGCACTGACAGCCCTAACAAACTTGGTTGGTTGTTAGCTGAATAAAAGAAAAGTATTTCCTTTTTTTCTTTAAAAAGAGTGGAGAACAGCCCAGATTGTCCTTGAAGAGGTTTGCATCACTACAGTTCTTTTTCCCACACCAAACATTTTGACACATTGACAGGAACTGCACAGGTGTGTTAACAGCAGCTGCATTCCTCACAGAAAATGTCATGTTGTATTTTATGCTTGTTCATTTAACATGTCCTCTATGAAAAATGCCCCCTTCACTGATAAATTCAGCTTGACTTTCTGTTTCTTTGTCTCCAGGTCCAGTTTTTGGTTTCCTCTTTACACTTCAGAACAATTATAAAGTCTTCCAAGACACGTTACCTGGGCTACCTGGGTAATGTCCAGTTTTTACAGAGGAATACTTTTATACCTACTGCCAGATGGATGTTTGCTATCTCGCACGCACCTATGACTGCACATTCAGATGAATGTGCACAATCTTTCACACAAGACTCCTTTCTCTCAGCTCGCTCAGAGATTCTGGTTAGGCATAGCAATGAGATATTGGTAAGAAAGAGGGACATTCATCACCAGCCTGGAGCATGTGTTAACACACGCACGCATACATGCACACACACACGCACACACACACGCACACACACACACACTCTGTCTGGCAAACTTCACCTCATGCATTACAATTGAATGAGATGCAGGGAAACATTGTCCAATATTCAGCTCATATGTTATCATCCCGGTACAGTGCGGCTGAAATGTATGTTGGTGTATATGCATTTGAATTTATGTATGAGTATAAATGTATATCTGTACACAACTGCCTTCTAGGAAAAATGAAGTAAGCATAAACTACACATTAGGTGAACCCTCTTATTTACACCTATATCTATTTACAAAAGAAAAAAATAGAACAAAATATTTGGCCCAATACTGTTTCCCTTGTTGCAGCTGGGCCGATCACAACCCCGATTAAAATATTCCCCTTCAAGGCTAATCCCAACTAATTGTGGACGATTTTTATTGAACACTGATGAATATATTTTACATTGGCAGGTGCATTCCTAAAAATTTGAATGTCCTTAAGAAGACAATTTGTTTCAGTAATTTAAATCAAAAAGTGAAACTTGTACATTTGTTGCACTCAGTGATATATTTTCTGTTTTCTTTCTGTTATTTTTTATGAGAATGGCTCACAAAATTATGCTTCTCAAAAAAAGTGTAATATATCTTAAAGCTGAAAATAAGTTTAAATTTATTTTGTTTTGTTGTTATTTTAATGCTCACAAGAATGTGAACTGTGGTTAGAGTCAGTAGCCCCTGTCACGTCATACAAGGCGACTGAATTCAGATCCCCGTGTGCTTTCAGCTAATATTCCTGAAAATATGGAATCAATAATACAAGGTTCTTCACACTGTGCATCTAGTTCGTAGAGGCTATGGGTTAATTTCTAGCTGAAACGATGGAACAAAGGTGTAATTTTGCAGGGTTAATTTCAAACCCTCCCTCCCCCCCCATTTCGTGTCAGGATTTTTCAGGAGGAGTAATAAACACATCTAGATCACAGAACAAAAGGACGATCTGAAAGGTTTAAGTACTTCAAGAGCCACTGCAAAGATTTATCCAAGACTTGGACTACAACTGTCACATTCCTTGAGTTAAGCTATTTGTGATTTGCAGAGCTACTGCATCACCTAATGTCAACCCCACTGTGTTTTCTGAAGTCCAAGGGCATGCTGATTTAATTTTCCAGGAGGACTTGGCACCTGCCCAAACTGCTAAAGTGCCAATATTTACTTTAATGACCATCCTATCACTGTACTTAATTAGCCAGCAAACTTACCGGACCTGAACCCCATAGAGAATCTATTTGATACTGCCATGAGGATCCAGCTATACTGCTGAGATAAAACCTCATAGTAACAAAACCTGCTTTACTTAACACAAAGTCAGAAGCTGATCATTTCCTTTCCTGATGCAGTGATTCCTGGAAAAATGGAGCTCCAACGCAGTACTGAGTGTGTGTGTGCTGAACAGTACAGGGACATGATTTTCAGTAGGCTACATTTTTAATTGATCCTGTGTTCAAAATATCTGACTAACAGAATTTGGACTTCTCATTAGATGAATTATCACAGTTCAAAGAAACACCTATAATATTTAATTCTGTGTGTAATGTATCTATACTGTATTGCAATCAAATCCCATGTGCAGAGACTCACTATTCTTGCACACAGGATGCTGTAAAAAAGATCAGCAGAGGAAAAACAGATAATGAAGACTGCTTATATCTGAGCATATCCTGTAAACAGCTCTGATTCTTTATATATATATATATATATATATATATATATATATATATATATATATATATATATATATATATTTGTGCAGTGTATATTCCCATTGATTTTACTGAAAGTATCATTGTAAACTATTGCCTTGTTTCCACTGAGCTGCACAGCTCAGTGATTTGATATCAATTGTTGAACTGAACAACCAGTACTGCATCATTTCTGCTCCCTTTTCGGATAATGGTACAGTTTGGTTAGCTTGGAGCTACTGGCATCATGACTGCTGTTGTACTAGCATGACACAACATTATGCATTTGTGTTTAACCCCCGCCTACCCAGTGAGCATCCAACAGGCGATGGAAACACTCAGTGAAAGCAAGGCATTAGAAAATAGAAGTCAACTGTGTGCTTTTTTTCTTGTTTGCTCCTTGTCTGCTTTTTAAATCCAATTACTTAAGTATATCCACAGTTACATATTTGCCAAAAAAAAAAAAATGAAGGTGGAATGGGTGAAATATTATTTCCAGAAAATTTCCAAGAACAGTTAAGTTGTATACCACAAGGTGCATGAATAATCATGGGCTTTTCTCTAGTTTATTTATTGTGGACTTTACTCTAATAAATACTGCAAAAACCTATTTAAACCAATCAGTTCTATTGAAATTAAAAGGACTCTAAAAGTGGAGCAAGTACTACATGACGTATTGTAATATTTCCAATCTGATGACTATAAGGTAAAACATGTTCTGGATGTGTTTACTCGTTGCTTTCACTTCAAATTCAAGGGCAACATTGATCTGTTATACACTGTCCACGGTTGCCCTCATTAAGAAGCAAGCGGAAGAGTTATTGTTAAGCTGCTCCTTAAAGATCATTTTTCCAGAACAAGGACGTGTGCAGCAACAAATTACGTGATAAAAATATCCCTTAGTTTCCGGCATTACATTCTTCTGTTGAGATCTGAAACAAGAAGCATTTCCCTGTGAGACCCCCCAGCAGCATTAAAATAGAGCTTTACTCAACCCAATTAGAACTTGTGGAAATCAGGCTAATGGATATACGAGGTGGGCTGCCTTTGGCTCGTCCTCCAACTTTCTAGAATAAAACAATCACAACCTTGAAGTTAAATCTACAGTAATGTGTGTGGGACGCTATGGTTCGGGCATTCTCTATATTCATGTAGGAATTAAGTTTATTGCCTTTAATCCCCCTTTTTTGATTTAAAGTGTATCTCCATCCATCTGTCACTCTTGGATATATATTTATCTCTCTTATCCGCCTTTCATTTTTTCCTCTACACCCTCCATGCTTCATTTAAGCTGAAACATGATGCTCTTTCTCTTCATGCCCTCTTCTCACTTAACCTAATCCTCCCTCCTTTTGGACAGAAGTGTCACTCCCTAATGTTAGTAACACAAGTGTAATTCTATTTGTATGTTATTGTGTTGTGATGTTCAAAAGGAAGATGCTTTATAAGATTTTCCAGCCTCCATTCAGGCCAGAGGAGCTTTTGTTTTTTATTTAATTTGAGGGATACAAAAACAAGAGGGGAAAGCAAAGCTGAAAGAGGGCAAGGGCTTCAGCAGTCAGCTCTGACAGGAATCTGTGGACTCAACGGTCCGTGGCGAACCGAAGTGTCAACTCCACTTGTACGTCCAGGCATATCATTAGGGAGACATCTTTTGTTGGAGTCAGTCACTGCTCTCTTTTGAAGACTGAATGTGGAACTGCTCATGTTTGCACACGCCAGCTCTTTCATTAAAGATAAACAAAAAAACACATTTTAAAACAATGGTGTTGTAAACAGATATGTCATGTAGGTTTGTGCTATGAACTAGGGTTTGATGTAGAAGGTTGCCTCATTCACTAAATTCAAGCTTCAGCATAAGAGCTGTAACCATCTGACACAGTGTGTGACTTATTTCCCTGCTTTAATTCCCAAATTCAGAGCAGATTCTGATGTAACTACTGAATCACAGCCAATGAGGAAAGAGAGTTGAGCATGATTCAGAAAAACCAAAGCAGGATATTGGAGATAATGCAACTCATTAAGTTCCTATCTCAGTACCACAGCACCACCTGTTGGTCAGCATGGTTTCTGTACTTTGCAATCAGGAAAGTTCAGTTATCGGATGCTGTTTGGCTTTTTTTATGCTGTTTATCTTTTTCCTTTGAGCTCTTTGTACAGATGACGTTCTTAGATTTTTATTTTCTTTAAAAATGTTCACTACGTGCTTAACTCACATTTACCAGTTTTTATTTATATTTGGAAAATAGGTTTTCTATCTCCAGCATTGATTTGGCAAGAGGTTGGGTTTTATCGGGACAGGTGAACCGTCCATCGCTAGGCAACACAGACACACATAGTCATGTACACATGCATTCAGACTTAAACACAATTTAGAGCAATCACATTACCTAACAGGCATGTTTTTGGTCCATAGGGGGAAGCTGGAGTATCCAGTGGAAATCCAGGCAGGCCAACTGATTGGCCAGCAAAATATATATATATATATATATATATATCTTCCACAGAAGACATTCAATTGAATACTTTTTGAACTTCTTTTTTTACTTCTAGATGTTCAATTTGTATGAAATACAGAGATGATTAAAGAGTAACTATTGGTCTCAAACATTGCAATAGAACCTGTGAATATGAATTAAATTTCTTCAAATATGGAAACCATTAAAAATAGAGTACTTATAATCTCTCCATTCCCCAATCCGAGAGGTCCTGGCAGTAAAATATGAGAAATAAGGTTTTAACTTTGCACTGCTTCTCTTTTCTCACTCTGAATCACATCTATGCTTTGTCGTCTCCTCGTCTCTCTCTCTCTCTTTAGATTCAACAAAATACAGAACACAAAGAACACAATGAAGAAGGATGGCATCAGCTCCTTGACCTACAAACTGGTTCAGGTGAAGAAGTATCCTATGTACACAAACATCTCAGTGGAGATCGGCAAGCCGCCGCCTCGGCCCATCAAAGGCTAGAGAGAGAGTAAAAGAGAGAAGAATCTAAAGTTGATGCACTTTTACCTGGATGGGAGAGAAGAAAGGAAGGTGTGGAGAAGAGAAGGATGATGTGACTTTCTCTTTTTTCCCCCGTTTACTTGTTTGAGATTTCAGCTTGACAATTTTTTTTACTGGATTTCACTAGGGATGCCAGCTGCCACCCGGTAACAGTCAGCGACGTTAAAAACCTTTGGAAACGGAGCAGGAATGTCAGCAGCTGACAGAAGGTTGTTGTCAAACTCAAGAGTCGTTCCATGAACTATCGTCTGCAAACTCGAGGGCATCCAGCAACATATTGGCAGGAACACCAAACATGGCTGTTATAAAACACCTTGCCCCTGTTCTGGAGATGCACACACAATAACTCGGTCAGATTTCAAAACGAGCTTCGGTTCACCACAATGCTTGACGACATGAACAGGATGCAGCCTCCGGTTGGGAAACGCATGAAATTACCAAACATTTGCAGTGATGTTTTGCAGGTAACAGATTACCCGCAGGAATATGAACATTCAGTGGTTCAGATGGTTTTTGTTGTCCCCAAGACATCATCTTGTCTTGACACAGAACTGTTTCATGTTGACATTTCCCTCTGGGAGTTTTCAGTCTGAATCTCCAAACTCAAACCTTCTGCTATACGTCTATGAATGTTTAACGTGCCTGCATCTACAGCAGAAGACTCATGAAATCAGAGCAGCAATGAACAACTGGGGTGGGGTGGGATGGGGTGGGGGGACTCATTTTTTTTCTTTCTTCTTTTATACATTTCTGAACTTCAAAACAGAACTGGAATTTTGTAACAAAAAGATACAATTATCTGAAAAGTTTTCTTCAGTGCGCAGCCTGGTGGAAGTACGTCGAAACGTGAAAAAAGAAAAACATACTGACAGCTCGGGTTATGGGTTCCAGTTTTCCTTTTGTCTTTTATTTTTGTCTCTGAGCCTTACTACAGTTTTAACAGGCTAATCCGTTTTCTCAAGGTGCAATATGCTATGAAGTTTCTTCAACATTCTGAACTCATCAAATTTTGTCAAAATAAACATGAAACCTGAGCTATCAGGTTATGTTTTACAGTCAAGTAGCATTGCGGCTAAAAACATTGGCTTGCAAATCTTTTACACTGACAGAACTAGTTGAAAACTAAGTCTCGTGGTTATTTTTTAAGCCTGCAGTATAGCCATGTGGTCTTTTTTTTAAACAAATATCATCAACTCTATATGGTGTTTATGAGTCACTTTTGTGTCTATCTTTTGCATTCAGTCATTAGACAACATATCGAAATGGAGTAAATTGTCGAAAGGAAACGTAAAACTTCTCTGGTAATATACAGAGCATTGCAAAGGTACTCATGCTTCCCATATTTTGTCTCTATCTTGATGTAAATTATTATTTTATGTGACGGACCAACACAGAGTTCAGCATATTTGTGAAGAGCAAGAAGTGTGAAGTGGTTTTTTGCAAACAAAACTCTGAAAACTGTGGAGTGCAGTTGAAAACCCCTTACTCTAATACCCTTAAAAAAATCTTCTCCAGTCTTTAGAAGCAATCTAATTATCAATCACCTGTATAATTTTATATCTCAGTATAAATGTAGCTGTTCTTTGCAGACTTAAGGTTTTCCTTGAAAGACATTAGTGGAAAAATAAGTAATGAAATTCAAGGAATACAGCAGACAGGTCAATTGTGGAGAAGTTTAAAAAGGATTGAGTATTGTTATAATAGCAAAGCTGAGACATGGCTGTCTATCTGACCAGCTGGCTGAGGAGAGAACTAATCAGAGAAGTCATTTAGTGGTCCTTGACGCTTTAGAGACTCTCTATTCAAGTCGAAGAATCTGTTGACAAGACAACTATCAGCACTCAATGAATTTGGCTATTAAGGACAAGCTGCAAAACAAAAGATATTGCTGAAAGAAACCGTCTTGATCTCATTTAATCTTCGTCTCAAGTCATGTAGGAGGCACAGCAAATACTGTGGCAGAGGGTTCTCAGGTCAGATTAGAGCTGCATTGTAAAACACTCTAATCCTGATTACACCATGTCTATTGTGAAACATGGTGGTGGCAACAGCATTCTGTGGGAATACGTCTCTTCAACAGAGATAAAGTGAAAACTGGAGACTGAAAAAGAGTCGAGTGGAGGTTGACCTTCCAGATGATCTAAAAGACTTTTGGACATTTGGAAGTGGGACCAAATACAGTTGGACTCAACATTTCAGATTATTAATGTAAAAAAAAAAAAAAAAAAAAAAAGTTTTGGTTTATCACATAAAATTAAAGTTTGTGGGTTCAACATCATTAAAAAGTTCATTGGGTTTGTGTACATTTGCAAGCCACTGTTTAAACCAGCTGAGAATTCTGTCTGTGACTTTTATGGATTTTGTTCCCACATTTGAGTATCAGCCATAATAATCAAATATTCATATCTTGTTCTGCTTAATCACCTCGATGCAGTTTGTCCTGTAAAGATGCTTCACAACATTCAGTAACATAAGTTGAACCAGGCATACACAATATTTAATTTGCTCTTCCATCAACACTTCATAGCCTTGGACAGCTTTGTCTCCGAGACATTGCTCTACTTCCTTTTATGTTTTTAATTTTTCTCGCCTTTCTTTGTTCGCCTATTAATGCCCACACCTCCAAACTAATGCCTTGAGAAATAATCTGTACTAATTCAAAGGTCAGACCTGGGAGAAAAAAAAAAGAAAGTGTCTGAGAAAATCTAAACTAAAGAGGTTGAAGTGAATTCCCTTAACTGTTATGCTTTAGCGAAAATGATTTCACCTTTTTGGTCAGCCTTGAGGCAAAATAGGTTTCAATCTGCTTGGCTCCTCGCCTCAAGCCTGAATGGTGGACAATATAATTGCTCCTCTTTTCAGACACCCACACACACACACACACACACACACACATAAAACACACTCATTCACACCATCTGCCTTTTTTATGTATTATCTCCCTTCTCGCTGCCTTTCCATTCTTACTCTGCCAGTCTGGGCTGTATTGTATCGGTGGCTCACTGTTGTGCTTTGTGATGGACCCACTTCAGGCACATCGGGGCCTCACAGGAAGAGTGCTTCTTCTTTCAACAGATATCGACAGGAGCTCTCTTTGTCTGTATCTTTATTTTGTCTCTAATCACTGCTTCTCAGCACACATCCCCACTTGTGAGTCTTTCTAACCCCCCACCTGTTTCCTCCTTCTCTCTTCACTGTCCATTTAGCTCCTTCTTGCCTGGATTAAGGCTTTCTCTTTTTTCTGTTTGATTAGTCGTATTTCTGGTGCTTTTCTCTTTTCTGACTACAAGTGGTCAACGTGTTTCCTTATTGAAACGGTTTACAGCAGTATTACACATCAGTTCACATCTGTTGCATGCTCTGCTTTATAGTCATTATTAAGGATGGGAGGTCATAGCATTTTTAGGGGGTCAGTTTGTAATACAGATTCAATTTTTTGTTGTTTTTTTTGTGGTTATAAACGCTGATAATGAGAAAGTGCAGCAATTGCATAGTTTTTCTCATGGTCTTAAAGGGGCACTACAGCAAAGGCAGAAAGCTTTTAAAGTTTGGTGACTTCAAGGTCACATTATTCATATTTTTAAAACCCTAAAGTCTTAAATCCCATTATAAACATGAAGTGCAATGACATTTGGTGCAATCTTAGTATTGCAAGTTTTGGTTAGGTGTATATATGCTTAATAACACAAAAAAATATATTAAAAAATATGCATTATAAAACACTACACAATTGGATAAAAAAAATCAACTCCAATTGTCAAGAACTGATCTCAAAATTGATCTGCTTACTCTTCAAAGAGCCATAAAATTACAAATTCATCTACCTTGCAAAAGCTGAACTGCAGTGGCCAGCAACATGTGAGGAAGGAGCTACAGCCAAAGAAAACTGAGGTCACTCTGCTACTTTCTCTGCCATCTCATTGAAAAGATTTGAAACTGTAGGAATGGTGTGACTGAAAATTTTAGCAATTTGAAATTTTGATATAGTTTGATTGCAACAATCCGTCCTTGCCCAACTGGCGGCAATCCTGATTAAAGTTACCCTGGGTTTGCTTTGCTTTGGAACTTAGATCTGAGACAGACATCACATCTGAGTTTGTTGGAGCTGCAAATCAAGAAACTGATCGTACCAAGATAATTGGTACGATCAGTGCATGGCCTACTATTGGCAGTGCAAGGTGATAACATTTTATCTTTAGTTTTATGTATTTAAATATGTAAACAAATAGTCCAAAAGCACTATTTGTCCCACTGGTTTGTTGTGTTACAAACATTTTATTCCTGTCTTTAACCAAGTTTTACACATAAGGTGGCCATATTGGATGTTGAACTAGGAGTTGCTCAGAGACCTACAACTTCTGCAGCCATTTTGTTGAGATTTTGTAACTTGGAACTTGACAATTCCTGTTTCTGAAGTACAAATTCTGATTAATACATTTTATTTGCGGCAGACGTCACACCCTAGTTTTACTCTTTCTTGTTGCAAGTTGAAAAATCAGTTGGTTGCAAAATTTTTTGTGTAGTGACCAGGCCTTTGTTTCATGCCTTCAAGCATTTTCACAAATTGAAGCTATTCCATTTTGGTGTATTTACACACACACTATAAAAAAATGGCTGAAAAAAAGAAATGTTTTTTTTCATTATGCCTGGCATGAAATCAGATTGAACTTTTACATTTTAAGTAAATTGAGATACCAAAATTGTTTTTGTTCGAGAAATGCCAGATTAATGAGAAGAAAATAGTTCAGAAAGCTTTTGTTATTTTCTTCAGAGTCGGAAGTTTATGTATGTCCTTAGTATTTTATAGGATTCTTTTAAACGGCATGTCAAACATGTCAGATAACTTTTCACAAGCTTCTGAAAGTAATTTCCTGGCATTTTGGCCTAAACTGAGATGAGTTTGTTGGCTGTCGTTCTAAAACACACCATTTCAGTTTGATTTTCTACGGGACTGACATCAGGGCTTTGAGAGCGCTACTCCAAAACTAACTTAAGTCAACTTTTACTAAATTAGCAGTATGCCTATGTTCCTTGTCCCTTTGGAAGATTTGCACCCAAACTCTAACTTCTTGGTTTATGTATAGAGATGTTGCTGTACTAATTTCTCCATCGATTTTGTGAAGTGCACCAGTCCCTCCTGGAGCAAAAGTTGAGAGGGTGCTCTGAAGCTTACAAGTCTCTCAGTGTTTCATCCAAATGTAACTATGGTCATTATAGCCAAACTGTCTCCATTTTTAAGTAGCGTGATTGCTGGTATATATATATATATATATATATATATATATATACAGAACAGATAAACAATTCATGGATGAACAAAACTTCTGGTAGTTCCACAATCATCTCCCTGATGTTTCTTCTTATTTTCTGATGATTAATTGTTGCCTTAAATTACATTCACAGATGTGCCTCCAATTTACTCAACTGTTGTGAAATATCCTTTTAGAAGATTACAGAGGTATTGCATCAACTGGGCTTCCCCCCACACCCCAAATTTTTAAAGGACGCTAACCTCAGTGCCAGTAAACTTCTGACTTTGAAGAAAAATAATTCTCTCTCTTGTTATCCTGGCATTCATTCAAATGATTTTAGTCATTCCAATTGAGCACTCACAAGTTAAAATTCAGCAGTCATGTTGAATATGAACTTGGGAGCACTCAGAGACCTCCACTTAACAAGCTGGAATTTAGATTTTTAGAGCCATGCCATTTATTTTAGGATGTGCAACTCAGAAATTCTGACTTCTAAGGTAAAAGTCAAATGCAGCATCACTCCAGTACTTTCTGACTTTCATCTCATGTTAAAAAAAAACTTTTTTTAGGAAAGCTGTGAAAACCACAGCACACACTCATACCAAATTACAACCAAAAACCCATTTTTTTGCAAAATTTACAAAAACATTGTTTCAATGCCATCTTAAAACAAACCGAGTACGAGTCTGATACACCACCTGAAACTTTGATTGGATTAATTGTAGGATGTTAGATATGTGCAGTGGAGACAATAAGTTTACTTATACTGGACAAAAGACACAAAAACCTTTCTTTTTTTTCACACTACCTGAAGTTAAATCAGACCAGACGTTTCCTGTTTTAGGTCAGTTAGACTTACCAAAATGATTTCTATTTGATAAATGCCAGAATAATGAGAGAAAATATATCAGAAACTAATTTAATGTTATCATTTAACAAAATCAGAATTTACGTACAGAAAATGACTATCTCTTTAAACAATGAGGGAAGGCCCAGGCTTTGGAAACTTGTGGTGGGTTAAATAACACATTTCAGTAAATTGGAAGTTCACTCCTGAATATATTAAGGCGATGCCAATATACTGCTTTCTTGTTTAACACAATGGAAAACCCACAAAAAAACAGCCAAGGAAGGAAGTCATGTAGGAAGAGCAGTAAAATTACAAGCTTTATTCCAAGAGAAACATAAAAAAAACAGATTGAAATTTACAAATGTTGGCAGGAACCTTGATTTGATGGAAAAATGTCATAGAACTAAACTGTTTGACCATAATGACAATCGTTAAATCTGGAGGAAAGATGTGAGGTATACCTCACCCCCACATGTGAGGTATGGGGGTGGCAGCATGATGCTGTGGGGCTGTTTTGGTGCAGGAGGAACTGCTGCACTTCATAAAATCAATGTAAAATCAATGCCATCACGGGAAACAAACATTACGTGAAAATATTCACAAACATTTCAAGACAACAGCCAGGAAGTTGAAGCTAGGGCACAAATGAGTTGTAATTGGTAATTCTAATTGAACAAAAACAACAGGAGTTTGATCTGAATTAACTTCAGATGGTGAGAAAAAAAAAGTGTATTTGTCTTTTTATTTTGTGTATGTAAACTTCTGGATTCAACTGTAGCTGGAAAGAAGGCCCCAGTGTGTATAAACTGTACCATGCTTCACCAAGATCAGTAACCAACGTATTTAGCAAAAAATGTATTTGTGGCCTCTGCTTGAGAATCAAACAGCTGTATCACACCTCTGGTGGTTAAAGTGTTTGAATCCATCTTCAGATGCACTTTTTGCTCTTCAACTGCTAACAGCCAACAAGATCTTCAGGCCTGGAGGCGTTTTTAAAACTTTACTGTACCTATGGCTTTTTTGTACGTTGAATGTTGAAAATGTTATATCTTATATAGAATGCATTATGTCATATCAAACCTACTTTTTCTATACAATTAATAAATCTGATGGTAAAGATTGTATGTTGGTGTGCTTCCTGATTCTTTAAAGTAATGCTAGTTTTTACATCTGGGCTGAAGTGAACAGGAATAATTTTTATTTTATTTTTTTGTATAATAATAATAGAGTTTGCTTTATTATATGTTGCTGTACAGTCATTCTGTAGCTGATCAGTTGGTTATACAAAGTTTTGACTCAGTAGGGCTGAATATAAATCCATGACGTATTTGTGTTTTTTACCTACTTTCAATTGCACAACTATGCACTACTTTTATTTATTCGTCTTTAAAGAAATCCCAGCAAAATACACTGTTTGTGGTCATAACAGCACAAACAACAAAAAGCATTTAGGGCAGTAACAAAAGTGTCTTACAAGAGTAGGCTTCTTAATGAAAGGTTTTCACAAAGAAAAGTAATACAATTAAATAGAAGCTAAAGAAAAAACTCTAAAATGAAAAAAAAAACCTAATAATTTATTTTGACTTACAGTGTAAAACCAATGTACTGAGGTTGTGATGTGAGAAAAAAGTTGCATCAGGAAACAGACTACTGATCCCAGTGCTAGAAGCAGGGTTCATACAAATTTCAATCATTGTTTGTTCCAATTATATTCTTGACAATACAGTGAAAAAAAACATTTACTTAGTTGAGTAAAGTTAAAGTAAAGTTCACTATTATTTAACAATAATGGAATAGGTTTCAAACTTTACTTTTTTTTTATTAGATTAACTTAGCTAAAAAGCTAAGAGCATGTTTGGTTTTCTGTCATATATACATTATAATTAAGGTAACAAGTTCCTGGAGTAAGTCTTGCAAAATTTTAAACAATACATCCTTATGTTAAAATAAACTAAAGACTTTGATTCTGACAAGTCACTGAAAACTGCATATTTGCTGTATCTTAGCACTGAAGAATCAATACTACCTTGCTACACCGTGTGCGTGCACAAGCAGCATACATTTAAAAACAGCATTAAAATAACATGCCAACAAATCTTATCTAATGTTACATTCTCATTAATTATTTCCTATTTACTGTTCATCACAGTTGTGCATGAAGTGTAAAACTGCATCAGCTTGTGACAAGTCTGTCACTAGTTGTCTTATTTATCAGTTTTTTATGCTAACACTTAAATCTATCTATCATTTTCTGGGTATTTCGGGACTAAGAGATCCTAAATCTCTCACTCTTTTTCCTGTTTCTCCTTAAAAACATTCTCAACATCTAAGCAACATTTTTTAAGATGCAAAAATATAAAATAAATGGAGCTAGATTAAAAAAGTAGGAGTACAAAGTACAATTTTTAATCCCCGTGTTTTGAGATAAAGTTTCTACGTCAGTGAACAGAGTTGTGGGATAAAGTTGCACCATTTCTTACATGGTTCCGAGTTTTATTGACTTTTCTTTTTTGTGTTACATTCAAGTGTTGGTGAGTTACCCCTATCGCGTTTACAGATTCTCCTTTCTTGAGTGGATGTATAACATCTTCAGTAATAAAATGCCTAAGGATAAAATGTGAAGCTCACATATTTTAAAATATATGGTGGTTGCGTGAAGAATCACTGAACTGGGGTGGGCGGCTGCTGAGGTGTGCAGTTTTTGAGGCGGGAACAAGTGGCAAGGCGATTTCCCTCCCAGTAGCCGGCGTCCTGGCCGTCATGACAGCGACACTTGGTGCAGGAGTCCACCCACACAGGCTCTCCTGCAGCTATCACTTGACTGCGGGATGCATCAGTATAACAGTTGGGACCTGGACAAAGAAGCAAAAAGCGTGGAAATTGAAAGATTTAAACTTAGTGTTGGACCTAACATTTTCTATTATACAAAGATTTGTATTTGTAAAAAGGTTGCCCTAATTAAAAAAAAAAAAAAAAAAAAGTTTTCATCTCCCCCTTGTGCTCAGAGACAGAACAGATAGGTGCCTCGAGGACACCACTTTGTATGCCACACTTTTCAGATTTTCATTGGTTTAAAAAAAAAAAAACATGTACCATTTTCATTCCACCTCACAATCATTCCCTAATTTGAGTTGGTCTACGATAAATAATCTTAACAAAATACATTGAGGTTTATGCTTCTAACTTAAGAATCTGTAAAAAAAAACAAAACAAAAAAAAGTTTGCTGTTTGTGGTTTTTACTAATCCAACATACCCTCCTTGCATTCCGGGCAGCATTTCCCAGGCTGGTACACAGGATTGACACAGGGTGGAGGGGCACAGTCTGCCACGAGGCAGCGGGCGATGCCGTCACTGTCACAGGTGCACTGCTCACATTCAGATGGCTGGAACACACAGGCTGATGCTGCACTTGAAACATTTCACAATGTCCTCCTGAGGTACAGACATAAACCCTATCTCATGGTGTTACGAAAGGGGGCGCCATTTACCTCTTCTCTGCTGCATATTCATTACATACCAAGTACAGACATGTTTTCTTTCAAGCCTAAGAAATCCCTTGGACTTCATTTAGTTACACCACAGATAAGATACAACACCATTTTTAACACTGAGATTGACAGGTTTAAACTTCCTTTTTTCATTTCTATCTTTTTTGTGGCAGATATAGCTAGGGCAACGTTTGTTTTGCATCTGGTTAAACAAAATTATAATTTTAAAATATAGTGTTGCATATTTATAACAAGCTCGAATCTGCTTTATTTATCAAAGTTGTATATCTGCTTTATTATGGAGACAGTGCAGTAACAGGGTGGGGGTGGAGTCAGGCTTTAATATGCATAAGTTTTTTCATGGTTAGCTATTTAACAGAGGAATGGGGAATGTATTAATGAGCTGCAATTCTTTTTTTATATATATATATATTTCACTTTCAAGCTTCCCCCACACCCTTTGCCCTCATCTTAATCTCCACCTATTTACACATAATAATTAATCAGCCAGGTTGTAACCTTCTGTAATCAGAAGAGCAAACAAAATTGAAAACTTTTCCCTCAGTTCAAAAAATGCTTCAAAACAGAACCTTCACTGTATTCAGCTTATAAATGCATCACTCATCACTCATTTTAATTTCCATTAAAAAAAGAAAAATAAATGAAATGAAAACTAAAAAAGCTACAAATAATAATCTTTAGATATAAAGAAACTATGTTATTCCCTTTGGGATTTTTTTTCCCTCAGGGAAATTGTAATTAATTGACAATGATTTTATTCAACTATACCTTGATGACCTATTCTCTTTTGTATGCCATAGTTGTATTATAGTAAATCAGAATAATTTAAAAAAAATCCCAGTAAAGAAAGCAAGTCAGACCTCAGAGAAAACGACAAATTGGCCAAGAAAACTCGGTGCATCTCCATTATTCCATTATGCCTTTTGCTTTAAGTGTGAACCCCCAATGACCTGCTCTTCACTGCAAAGCCTTTTGAAATCTCCTCTGCTCGATATGACTTCAAATATATTATTTGTTTATTGGCAATTGAGATACCAAAAATAAAACTTTGGAGTAGTCTTGAAGCCCATTTCCGCCACAAGTTATAATTATGAGATACTCACTATCTCATAATTATTAGATAGCGAAGTCATAATTTTGATTTACAAAGGGGGAGGGGGGTTCACCAGAGTGGAGGAAACGGGCTTCCATAACTACCATGGATGAGTCGTGTCTTACCTGGAAATTTTCTCCGAGCTCGTACACCACCCCCCGGTACTCACAGCCGATCTTCTCGCACCTGGGGCAGCAGTCGGTGGGGTAGTGACTCACATGGATGCAGGCGGCCGGCAGGGACGTGCATTCGGTGCGGGCGCACACGGAGCCCCCACTGGTGCACTCGCACTGGGTGCAGTGATCGGAGTCCAGGAAATACCACTCTCCCACGTAGTAAATGCTGCCGTTGGCCTCGCAGGTGCTCTCCTGTTGTCCTGTGAAGCCCAACGCGGCCTGTGTGCAGAGCAGAAGAGCCCAGAGCGCCGTGCAAACCTGTGCCATTATGATTCAAGACACCTCTCTCTTCTCCAAAATGGAAACTTGGGTGAAAAAAAAAAAAAAAAAAATCAAACCTACTCAAGTGGGCTTTGATAGGAAAAATCACCCAAATTAGTTAACATTACTTCACATGTTTAATAAACCCGTGCATCTTCCCTCTGTGCTCCAGGGTTTCTGCAAAATGTCCGGAAGAAGTGAAGAGTTGGGAAAGTTTCGTAGCAAGTCCCTCCCCTTCTTCAATTCGGTAAAACCAAACTTTTATCAGACTGTTGGTCCCTCGATGCCCTTTAGAAATGTAAAGTGTTTTTAACGCTTAGGGGAAGGGTTATTTTCAACTTAACGTCCAAAAATGTACATTTATAAGACGTAGCGTGTTTTAGACGTAAAAAGAGAAGCCGGGAAATCATGCTTGGTCTAACATGCGATACCTCTCCCTAGCAACCGGAATGTTTTCCCTGGATACCATTCTCTTGTTAGCTACAGAAGACGAACTGAGGTAAGCGTTTGTTTTCTTAGACCGACAAGATAAAGAATATTTACTCTGCTGTTTCACATGGACACTTCTCCTTGTCTTTTTTATGACTATTTTGATATTTGCTTTATGAACCGTTAGGTTCTGTTAAAAAAAAAAAAAAAAAAAAAAAAAAAAGCGGGTTTAAAAAAAAGAATAAAATGGGCTGCTTA